GCCCAGGGAAGTGGTGGAGTCACCATCCCTGGAGGTGTTCAAGAAACATGTAGATGTGGTGCTTAGGGACATGGTTTAGTGAGTTAGGTGGTGTGGGTTGACAGTTGGAGTTGATGATCCTTGAGGTCTTTTCCAACATCAATGATTCTATGATTCTAAGGTTACTGCAAAAACACATTTTCATTGTAGTGCAGGGGGTAGAAGATTTATTTGAAAAGACTCTTGAACTAAAAGTAGTACAGAAATACTGCTGACAAACATGGCATACACAAATCTCTGTAAGCTCAGAGGTGGGAGGGGAAGGAATACAGTAATAAGTGAGTGAGATAGCAGGGTTGAGATGTATCTGCTTTTTAAATAGAAATAACCAAGTGACTCTGCCAAAGGGACTGAAAACATATATAAATGAGAGAAGCTATGATGGAGATCAGGAGACTGAATGTACAGGACACAGGTATGAAGAGCTGAAAAGAGATGAGAAACTTCTGTGATATAAGAAGCGAGTTTCCAGGAGAGTAATGGGAAAGGAAATAAATAGGCTGGGCCAGTGGAGCAAGATCACAGAATATTTCATCAGTTTTCCTTAAAAACCTGAGTACAAAGCCAAAACCACATTTTCTCTGCCTTTTTTTTTTTTTTTTTTTTTTTTGGCAAATGGTAGTTCATTTATACACTTACATGAAGATTCTTCAAGTTCTTGAAATCTCCTTCTTTAATTTCAGTGATTTTGTTGTTCTGTAAGTCCAGCAGAGTTGTGTCAGGAGGAAGGTCTTTTGGCACCCTTTCCAGACCTAGGGACAGTGAAAGGAATAAACAACTGACTTTGAAAGAAACTTTAAAGAGGAGTTAGTACTTTTCTTAGCAGCATTTACCTTTCAGTAAATACCATTTCTAGAACTCATTTCCTGAAGAAACTTATGAAGACTTATCTGAGAATTTCTGTCTCCAGTCACTCAAAGGTAGTTTTATTTTGCTATGTCAAATCAAACTTCATTTATTCACATTTTCATTATGCCCTTTTCTGAGAATATATCTGAGTTATAGCTTGAAGCAAAGGATTGAGTTTGGGAAAATTATTTCTAATGAGTTTAATTCCACTGAACTGTGTGAATAAAAATTGCTTTCAGAAAGAGGTATGGTATTTATTAATTTCACTTTGTGTTAGCTTTTGCGGACAGAGAACATTTCCTGCTGTATAAAAGGTAGTACACTTTTTTGAAAGAAGTATGATAGTTAATTATAATAGTTTCCAGAAAAAATAGTGTTTGTTTGACAGTAACTGACTAACTTGCAGTAAAGTCTACCTTAAAAAAAAAACCCCAATCCACCTCCCCCCTTTTAATTCATCTGAAACTATGTCCAAGTTTTCTGGAGAACAAATCTCTTGGTTTCTCTACAGCTGCCAAAAGAACATCAGACAGTTTAAATTAAAGACTCTCTTTGGGACTATTTTCTGAATAGCTGATATGTAAGTCTGATGAAATCATGGAAATGAAGTTATTTAGTGTTAAATAACACTTGCTTTACCCAGCTTTCCTTTCATACTGTGACTTGGAATAGAGCAAATCTTTTATAGTCATTCTGATTTACCACAAAATTAAACCGTTCTTTCCTAACTAGTGTTTCTTTCTTTTTTTTTTTTTTTTTTTAAACAGAATGTTAAATGTTAAATGAATGGTTTGTAGGAAAAATTTAAAGCTTTTAACAAATATTTCTGAAGTTGTATTTGAACTCTCCTGGGAAAGAACTATCTGCCAGTGTCCTGCCAGTATGACTGCATGATATTGTCCTCAGATTAAAGATATATATATAGATCATCTTTTTAAACCCATAAACCCATTGCAAACACAGTGAGATATGCTTACACAGAGATAAGATATGATTTGCCCACAAATGTTGTGGATTCTCCATTCTTGGAGATATTCAAAAGTTGACTGGACATGGCCCTAAGCAACCTGATCTAGCTGACCTTGCTTTAGCGAGGAAGTGGACTAGACAAGACGTGACCTCCAAATTCAACAATTTTGTGATTCTGTGATGTTTAACATTCATCACAAATACATTTTCACACCTGGAATGTATGTTTCTCTTTCAAAATCTGATGTTAAGCAAAACCCCTTCTCTACCAATCCTTTTTAGACTAGATATATATCTCATAGAATCATTGAATGGTCTGAGTTGGAAGGGACCCCACAGATCATCTAGTCCCAACTCCCCTGCCATGGGCAGGGACACCTTCCACTAGATCAGGTTGCTCAAAGCCTCATCCAGCCTGGCCTTGAACACCTCCAGGGATGGGGCATCCATAGAGTCTCTGGGCATCCTGTTCCAGTGCCTCACTACCCTAACACTAAAAGATTTCTTCCTAATACCTAATCTAAATCTACCCTCTTTTAGCTTAAAACCATTACCCCTCGTCCTATCACTACACTCCCTCCTAAAGAGTGCCTCCCCATCTCTCCTGTAGGCCCCCTTTAAGTACTGGAAGGCTGGTGTAAGGTCTCCCCAGAGCCTTCTGTTCTCCAGGCTGAACAACCCCAACTCTCTCAGCTTGTCCTCCTATGGGAGTTGTTCCAGACCTCTAATCATTTTTGTGGCTCTACTCTGGACCAGGCTGAGTCTCACGAGTGCAGAGTAGAGGGGGAGAATCCCCTCCCTCGACCTGCTGGCCACATGTATTTTGATGCAGCCCAGGATACCGTTGGCTTTCTGGGGTGCAAGTGCACATTGCCAGGTCATGTCGAGCTTCTCATCAACCAACACTCTCTCACATATATGTAGAGTAAAAAAATGGTTGGCTCTTATTTGAAAGGATTATGGCAAGCCATGAGAAGAAGTATATGGTATTATATTTAATCCTTGTAATCTACATGAAGAGCACTATTCTATAGCTACTACTATAAAATTTTAACAGAAACTCTAGAGAGGCCACAGTGATGTGTACTGGAGCTTTTTGCTACAATTAGTGATGTGCTAAAGATTTCATTATAGATTTGGCTATATTCTTAAAAATATTTGCATGCAGATGAGGTCTCCAATTCATCTTCAGGTGCCTCATCTGAATCTTTCGAAGTGTTGAGCATCTCAGAGGTCCCACTGTTGTCTGTTACTGCTCTTCAGTGCCTAGCAAACTCTGGAAAAAAGATTGCTTTTCCAGTTATGTATATATGGGTGCAGGAGACCTAAACTTTTGAAAAGTGTTTGCTTCATTTAATTTTACTTTTGAATCAATAATATTAGTCTGTATAGATCATATTCTGTTGTTATACCATTGCAAAAGTTTGGTTTCTGAACTAAAAAACATCCTGGCTACTTTTTTGTATTTATTTTCCCACCCATAAGTTCTCTAACATTCACTTAAAAATTATTAAAATATTTGGATTTGATATTTATGAACACAGAGTACAACACAGATTAACCTGGCTGAGTTTTAATCACACCAGCAACGAAAAGTTTTAAAAAGCACAATCATCCAGACTGGAATGAATCAGTAAAAGCTTCTACCATACATAAAATGACAAGAGCCAAAACTCACATCTCATCCTGTTCACCTTACTGACATTCAGTGCATAAACATACGATACAGATCAAGATTCTTCATATTACTAAAATAACTTTCCCTCATTCAGGTGTGGACTTAATTTTTACTGAAGGCAACTGCAAAACCCTCATTACCTTAAAAAGTGTAGGACTAGAGTTCCAAATATATAAAAATGTGATACCATATAATTTGTATGTTGGTTGTCTTTGGACAGTTTCTGTCCTCAGTGGACAGCAATGATGTCAGCAACTAAAAATTCTTTCCCAGAAAGCAGTACTTTTTTAAGATCATAATCTTGTTATAAGAAGTTATTTTAGTCTAGCAACTTTTATAGCATTTTTCACATGTAAATACAAAAAAAAAGGTATACTTATTTGTATTCAAATTAATATTACTATGTTCTGATAGTCAGTACATTTATATTAGTAGACTGGTAACTGTAAATAAGTGCTTATGGCAGAAACTAGGGCACATGAGAGTATACAGTTGTCCTTTATGCGATGCCCTTGAAAAATACTTTGTAAGAACACTTGGATTGCCACTGAAGGGCTAATTTGCCAGACACTAAACTTTAAACTAAATTTCCAGGTGTACATTTACAGCTTCACATGTCAGCTTCTGAAAGCTCTTGTGCTATCCCTGAATAAGGTAGAATTCATAAGTTCTCAGAGCAATGAACTTAAACTTTAAATGTTTCATATTACAATGATAAGACAAATTTAATAATCATATATCTGTTTGTGAAAAGCGATTTATAAAATCTTCCTGTCTTGTACTAGAAACTAGAAGTATGTACAATACAACAAGTTTTGCATGCAAATAACCTAATTGCCATTCCTTAAAGTGTTAAATTTTTAAACTTGTTTTATTACCTATCTCATGTATATTCTATTACACATTTCCTGAAGCAGTTTTTAAAAATATTTCAAAAAACAGATGAGAATTTTTTTTCTTTGAATTGTCTGGGTTTTGAAGACCAAAGCATAGAGTTGCACAGGATGCACGTCAGGTGCTGGAGAGACATTGGATTATCATTAAACAGTTTAGTACCTCCTCCAGCTGAAACCTACATCAACTGGAGCTCTCCAGTGGAGGAAGAGTTTATAAATGGGTGGATCTGGACACTGCTTTGTAAACTCAGCAGCTAAATAACTCAGGACTAAACTGTGTTTGAGGTGTGGACTGGATCCAAGTGTCTCACCACTTGTCACATTACATTGTTTTCAAGAACTGTGCTTCAGCTTGCAGGTCCAGGTGTCTGTATAGGTAGGTGTATCTCCAGATAGATATGTGCAAGAGGAGCATTGGTGTAGTGCAAACTAGCCCCTGTACTGGATATTCCCTGCCTGGAGAGCAAATCTTCAAACCTTTCTGGTCAGGACAGGTCAATAGACAGCCAGTTCAGATGGACAGGGGAGCCTGAACTAACATGACAGCATGACAGGATTTGAACCGAATGGAGCAAATTGTAATCCCACAAGAAGCTGAAATGCCTCTTGGCTCCTGGGATAGAATTAGTATTTCCCAGGAGGATTTTTTGATTCCTTTGTCTGGGAGACCAAGGAGTTCAGAGGAAAACTGTGGGCTGTCCTTTACTACTCATTTCTGAGAAACTGAAGTGATGTACTTATGCTTCTGAAGCCATGTTGTGCAGCATGTCCACCTGCAAATGCCTTCCAGTGAAATCTATGTAATACCAACTGAAAGGTGAACTGCTGTTGGAAAATGTCAATTGAGTCACCTCTCAACCATTTTTAAGAATAGTTTACACAAGTATTCCAGCTCTTGGCTATGATTTTTTATATATTAAAGCTTGCTTCTTAAAAAGCCATATGAAAATCTCTCATAGCAGTCTGACTTTTTATATGAATAATCAGTATTACAGTTTGGTATTCAGTTCCCTGGAAATATTTCAGGCCTCTAGTCCCTAAGATTAGCTTATAACTGATTAAAGATTTAGATTATTCTGCCTTTCCTACTGCATGTTAAATTGAAAATGCATATGACTTCATTTATTTTGCTTGAATAAAACTAAGTCAGTTAATAATTAAGCTGGTAAATAAATTTTTAAAAATTCAGTTTATTCACAAATAATAATGGTATAGTTCCACTCTTCCAAGATCACTGTTTACACTGAAATTAAGAGCCTAAAGATTCCAGAAATATAAGGGATTCAACAAACCAGTTTGTGTATCCTTAGTCAGAAAGACCATTTTGATTTGCAGTAAAATGTTTCTGTGGAAGAAATCA